CACACTCTTGCTATTTATTTATGCCTGTATCAGGTTGCCACAGTCTAGGCTGCTATTCACTTCAAAACTGTCCTGTATATATTCTTTGGGCTCCATGGGTACTTATTAAAAGGTGCTGTGACAGCCTGGCATCAGCAGAGTCCCTGAGTGGAAACAGTCACTCTTTTCATCAGAAGTCACTGTCATCTACTATGTTGTCTCTGGGCTGATCTTCTCAGGCTCTTTGTAGGGTGGTTTTTTTTTTCCCCTCTGGACAGGGAAGTAGGGCCTCTGCATGTGTTTAACCCCACATTTTTGCAGGGTACTAATATTTCTGCTTTTAATTGACTGCAGTTTTACAGGAGACTGTGTCCCACATGTGATTGCCCTAAAATGAAAAAGCGCCAGTGTTGGGCTTGAATGTTTCCCATCCAATTACCAATTGCCCCTTGATTTTATTTTGAAAGTTTTTTTTTCACTTGAGTATGGGGTTTCCAAATGATTCTGGTAATCCTGGATTTTTTCCCTTGTTTTTACAGGTGACCTGTAACTGTTTCACCATCAGTAATGGAGAGATGCAGGATGTTGGTGTTGGCCTGTATCCCAGGTACTGTGGACACTGTTTCATTCACAGGCAAAATCTATGTCAGTTTTTTTTTCCTTTTTTCCTAGGTAGCTGCAAGGGCCATCAAAGCAACAGGTAACACGTCTAAACAAGAAACTGGGAAATGGAAATAAATTAAAGGAGGATAAAAAAATATGATCAAGTTGAAAATGTTCTTAATAGTCTTGATTACAGAGTTCAGTTTAAATAAGATACATCTTTATATTTTATTTTTATGGAGAAGGTAGTCTTTCTTAAGTAAGAATAAACGCTGACATCAAAAATGTGTGACTGGGACGATTAAAAGGAAACCTGTTCAGCTTTGTTTTAGAATACAGATATTTTGCAGCTGAGAGCCTTCTGAACTGGCAATTAAAAGAAAAAGATTGAACACATTTATTAGTAAATTACCATAACTAAGAAACCAGTGAGGTGAAAAGATAAGCCCCTTGAGAGATGGATGTTAATGTTTTCATTTCTTACTCCTATTTCTTATTTGTGTTAGGTAAGTACGTACGTACCAGGGAAGGTTTTGCCTTTATAGAATTAGTTGCCTGTAGTTATTAATGTGGAAAATTAGTATGTATAGTTTAAAATTATATTTTACCATCTCAATGTTTTGTTAATGCCTGGTTGAACTATGTTGTCAGGACCTCAGTGGGCCTGTCACTGGTGTTTCTTTTTCTACTAATGTCACGTGTAAGATTTGACTAAGGACACTTAATATTTTGAGGCCTGCCTTGTGGTAAAGATAGGGGCTGTTAGGAGGACATGGGAATTAGTGTTATGAAAAGTACAGAAGAGTCATTTAATTTTGTAGTGGAATGGAAACAAATCCTTTCACATACTTGGGAAAAATGGAACATTAATTTGGGGCGTTATTATTAGGGAAATATTTTCTTTTGGTTGAAAAAAGCCCCTGACTGCAAATAAAGTGGCTATCTATGTTCTGTGATAATGCACTGCCAAGGGATGCAAAAGACTTTTTCCCAAGTCAGTTCAGAGCAGTTTGAGTTTTGCTGTAGTGAATCACTCTGAGCTGGGAAAATTGTAAACTTAAGTCTGTGGTTCCCAAATCCTAGGCAAATGCCCTTCCAGATGAATTCATATTCTTCCAGATGAAATTGTCATCAAACTCACGAGTGTTTCCATGAGATGAAATTTGATTGAAAGTTCTTTTTTTAGTCTTATTAAGACATTGTATATTGCCACATGGCTTGATAGCTTCAGCATCCCAATATATTTTAAAACAGATAAAATCCTGTGGTCCTTCCCTGTACCACCTTACCAGTAGCTTTGGGAGTATGCCCCGTGATCTCACAAGAAGTGAAATGAATACTCTCTCCCAGTGTATGTTACTGGGGTCATATGGAGATAAACCACAGATATTTTATTACTCCAGAAGGCATATCAAAAGAATCAGGGTCCTATTGATGGCTCCATTAAGAGTTTGGTGCAGGACCCTGACCCTCGGCAACATCATCTATTTTGCCTACAACAGTTGGGATTTTGAGTTGCTGAATCAGGCAGACAAGGAAAGCAAAAAAGGCACCCAGGAGCTGGATAAACCAAAAATTCTTATTCCAGCCTAGTGATGCCAGAATTATTCTTTCAATGGGTCGTTCCCATAGGGGAGGAACCGTCAGCCCCATGTCTGCTATGGGACTGATGTTGGCCAGGGAAAGTCAGTTGTTTCTCAGCTAATGAAACGTGGGACTTAAAGCATATAGTGGATATTGTTGATGTTGTTCTTAACAGTCCCCTTCAAAGAAGAGGGAAAGGCATGTCTGTGTCAGGAGATCCGCCTGTGTGTGTGTCTCTTGGGGGTGGCAGCAGCTCCCCGGTAATCTGTGCTGCTTTATTTGTCAACCGCCACAAGAACAGAGGCTGAACCGGAACACACAGAGGCAGTGGCTCTGTCTCTTTTTTTCAACTCTATACACCAAGTGCTTTGGTTTTGGGACATAGCATACTCCATTTTCTACCTGATATGAAATACAGGTTGATTGATGGCCTCTTTGAGCTGTGGTTCCACTGATGGTCAGCGTAACCGATAAGGTTAGCGCCCTGAAACTGAGCAGAAGCAGCAGAAATAAAGCACAGTCCCAAGCTACTAACCTTTTGCTCTGAAGTGTCCAGGTTGCCTTGTTCCCCACTTGCCTGCTTTGCCCTCTGCCCCGAGTCAGGACTCTTGGAGAGTCACTGGGAGGCCATCAGCTCTCCCGCGCCTGGAGTGCGCAGAAGGCATAAACATGTGAAGACATCCAGGCACGGCTCCTATTAGCAATGAATATAAATCTTCCAAGCGCTAATTTTCCTCCCCTAACCAAGAACCACTGATTTACCAGGGATTTTATTTGTTTCGTATCTTAATTGCTTGATACTTCAGATGTAATCATGTTAGCTACTTTTAAATGATTAAAGGGGAATGGCAGTGGAGGCTCCTCTGTAAAGCTCTTTCTCTCTCTCTTTCTCCCCCTCTACCACCCCTTACAGCATGTCTTTACTGAACCACAGCTGTGACCCAAACTGCGTGATCGTTTTTGAAGGATACCAGCTTTTACTTCGCTCTGTCCGAGAGATCCAGATTGGTGAAGAGGTAATTAACTTGTCCTCCCTTCCATCACAGACACCTGCAGCAATGACATCTCCCTAAATAAATTCCAGACTGCAGGGCCACCAGCTTAATATTTTGATGATATATTGATGCCACTTTCTAGCACATAGCTATCAGGGGGAAAAAGATAAATAGAATCATCTCTTCACACTGCCTGGGCCCCATAATCATTACTTCTCATAAATCACTAGCGGTCTTGATAAATTCTTGTTCTTTCTTTCCTCCTTTAGGCACTTCATTTTGTTTGTATTTGAACGTCTTTACTCTGATGGAAATACTTACAATATTTCTGGGTGGAATGCAGTGTTCACTAAGTCATTGCAACAATAAGCATTTGTCAGACTGCAACCAGACTCTTGCAGACTGTTGTAGTAAACCTTTCATTGACAGTGAAAGTAGCAAGACAAGGTTTGTTTTCTTGTCCATTTCACTAGAAAAGACTTCAAAATATCCCTTTCAAGAGATTTCTGATTTGATCTAAGGTATTCTCAGCTTTGTTTTTATGACAGCATTTGTATTACTTTGAAAGTAATCGTTTGTGACTAAGAAAGCATTTCAAATTAAATGGTTTTTGCAGCAGTACAATATTGAATTTGCTTTGTAAGACTGCAAAGATGTGTGTATATATGTAACTTTACATGCAGCAATGACCTATGCAGTCCTAGCTGTTGGTCATTTCAAAATCATGACTTAATGTAAATACGGTGCTTCATGCCTGTGCTTCAAACTCTGGGAAGATCAAGGGCATGTATATCCTAATTTAGAAGTAGTATCTCTTTTCCTCCCTATGAGGTGTTTTCTTTTTTAATGTATCCTTTTTCTAAGATAATAGTCTATCAAAATATGTAAATGGTAGGACATTTTTTTAGGCAAAATATTGTGGAGAACCAACAGAAATGCTTTTGCATACTTACCTTTTTGACAAAAGAAATCTTGTAGGATGCAATATACTTTTGTGGAGCTACTAAGTATAGACATCATTTTGTCTGGCATTCTTGTTCAAGCCAAATTATACACACTTTTCTTGCATTTCATCCATATACCATAACCTTCCTCTTGACTTTCCAATTCACCAAGATAAGTTATTTGTTTAAAAATGCAGCAGATTTTAATGTCTTCCCAGGATGCATTTGGGTTCATTATTAGAGTTCTAAATTCTATCTTATTTTTATGTAGATGGATATAGTCTTCCAGATAAATTTCATAAAGCAATTCTTTGTAACAAGCAGCTTTTACAGAGTGGGAGAGGCCCTTGGGTGGCCCTGGATGGTTCCGGAGTGACAAGTGAAGTAAAATTCCCTTGCAGGCATGAGCACTGTGCAGACTGTGCTACGACTGTGAAGCTGTGACCCAAATTTTAGACCTAGTGTTAGCGGTCTGTAACCCACAGATATCTCTAGGTTAAAATCCGTGGTGAAATAGATATGGTGTAAGTTAAAAGTAGTTTGTAAGGCAATCAGGAAATAAATATAAGTTATAAAGCAGGGCAGCTAGGACCAGTTTGTTTGCAGTAACTTTGGCAGTTGTGTGAATATGGGCTTTAAAATGACTGCACCTTATGTGGGCATGTTATATTTTCTAAAAAACTTCTCCTCCAATGAAGCAGTAAAATAAAGTCAGAATTTCCAAAGAGCTCAAGTTTTGGTTTCTTTGTTGCAACTATTGCTTCTGGGTTTCGTACTGAAAGGAAAACTTGTCTTATGGAACATGTAAGGTTTTATATATATGCATATATAGACACTGTATTAAAGCAGGTACCCTCTTGACTTACCTGGAAATAAAAGTATCAGTCTGAGGTATGTGCTTCTTTAAATAAGGATTTGTCTAAAGAAGAAAACAGGTATAAGTGAGAAAGTCAAGAAACAAAGTGAGTATTAGTTTAGATCTGTTATGGGAAAAGGAAGGAAAAGAAAATTATTATGAGGGTGTGTACAAGTCAGCAGTTTAATATTATTTTCAACACCCAATTACTTTTCCTCTTACACAACTGCTACCTCTTTTCATTTTGTGTTCTGCATGGTAGCTTTAGTATAACTTCTTTCCACACTGCCTTACTGCTTGCCTGCAGCAGAGTGAGCTCAGTTTTCTTAATAGCTATGTATTGAATTTACACACCTATGTACATGAAACTACATCACCTGTTATGAGCTGAGTTTCTACTTACATTACTGAGGTCATGATCTGAGCTAATGGAAGAGAAAATACACGTTAGGGAGGAATCTGACTGGGTTTTCTGAATAAATCAAGTGCAGTGGTAAGATGAACATTGTTTCAAGTCATGAGGCAACAAGAAAACTTAAATAATTATAAGCAGCAGAAAACTTGTCTTATCCTGTTCAAGCTTAGACTAGATGTAGTCAGAATGAGATCCTCTATGTAATAATTAATAGAAAGCAAATAAGCACTGAGGTTTATTAGAAATTAGAAGCCAAGTAGCAAGTCAAGCTCAGATTAGTAGATGACGACTGTGGCTTTACTATCTATACAGGAAGAAACTTGATAGGGCTCCTGGACCCTTACCAGGAAAATATCAACCACTGCAGTATAATGTGTTCACTAGGCCAGTGAGAAGTAAAAAAAGTTTTGCACATTTGTTGTGCTTTCTGTCAGAGGACACTACAACAATTTACTGATGTTAAGGAGTTGTTGACCACCTATGTAATTCATATAAGGATGTATGGGTCTATCCTAATACCCCACATTCTAGTTCTTAACCAGCTGGTAGTCATCACCACTAAATTTAAGTGTTTTCTGTCCTGCAAGTGGTATAAAGGGAATGAACAGAACAGATAGGGGGCAGAGGAGAGGACAGAAGAAGTGAAAGGAAGACAAGGTTTGGGAGCAACTACTGACCTCCATGCATAGATTGGGGGTTGTCGTGTCTTCTAACACTCTGTAGATTCTACTCTCTGCCAGGCTTTTGAGCATGATTGAATGTAATAGCGGGAAGAAAGAAAGAAAGAACAGGTTTTTGTGGGGATTTTATTCTGTATGTCCCTACTTAAAAGACTATAGGACTTTCTGAAACTTGCTTCCAACAGCTCAAAACTAATTATAACATTGTTTTGCTCCTCAAGATATAGTCAGTAGTGCTGACTATCACAGCTTTTGTACCTTTAGGTGATGTTACTTTGACAGTATACAAAGATTTCCTTTTATTACACCTTATTCTTTGCAAAAAAAGAAATTTAAGTATTGAAAAGAAAGGTAAGATATGGGGAAGGATTATAAGAAAGCAAAAACAATTCACCTAGAGATCACCAGGGCAGCTTCAGTGATAAAGTGGACTATCAGCTAATTTACTTTCTCAAAAAGACAAACAGCCTGCTCTGAAGAGGTCCTCATCATTTCCCTACCCTTTGGAGCCACTTTAAACAACATCAAGATGTGTGCTATCATTTCAGTTGACTTTTTGTTAATTACCTGGTGTTTTTCAGCCAGACATGAGCTCATTTTGCCTATTCTCCAATCAGAAGTTGTATAGCTGTGGTTTGTTCAGTGAATAGCTCAAATCAATTAGTCCTGCTGAGAGACAGGATGTATTAGCTGAGGTCCAGTTCTGCTCCAAAAAAAAGGTGAATGGCTTATCATCAGCTTCAGAGCTCGGTTAGAGCAAATTTGTATATTTCTGCAGAAAGTCACATAACAAACCATACTCTTACAGAGCAACTAATTTTTAAAAGTAATACTAAATACAAATCACAATTTCAGATGACCAGCAGCTTTCATGATTGATTTCAACCAAGATATGTAATATTTCTGTTATAATTCTGTGAGGAGAATTTTTTATGTCTGTGTGTTTGACACAATACATTTTGTCACATAACATTTTTTAAAACGAAATTTTTCCTTGAGTTAGAAGGCATTTTGATCATATATGCTAAAACAGAAGGAGCACAGACTGTTCACCATTTATATAACTCTGTCTCAGGAACAGATTTTTGTACACAACCCTCCCTAAGACCTTGAGACAAATGATAGCAAAAACAAGAGGACTCAACTTTTTTTCTCTGCTGTTTAATTATAATAATTGATTTTAAATTTCTACAGAATCCTCTGTCTAGAAATTTTGTAGCTTATAGCCTGTTACAAAAAACGTAAATTAAGTCCACTGCAGCATGGCAGTACTGGAAAATTGTGTTCACCTCATTTGGCAGATTAGGAACATGAGAAACTGAGCATCAAACCCATGGTTAAAGAATTTTTGTGTCAAAGCAAGAAGCAGACAGTGCTGCATTTTTAAATGAAAGTCTTGAGAGTCAATAAGTCTCACAGCTGTTAAATAATTCCCTGCCTTCATAAATGTTATTTAATATATATTCTCCAGTTGGGGGAAAAGATTTACTGCATTCTTTATAAGCGATGCAATAAAGAGGCAAGCTTTGGTCAGCTGAAATAATGTTTTAATTAATACCAGACATCCCACATGCAAATACCATTAAGACAACCGTTGATAAATGGGCATATTTCCTAAATATGTACAAGTTAAATGAGCCTTGCATCTAATGAAAGGATCCAAAATTCAAACAAGTGTAGGAGAGAGACTCAAATACAGAATTTTTATGTTTAAACGATTAAATTATTAGTATAGACTTAGTCACCGTTAGGTTGGTCATGTTTCTAAATATTCTAATTACATTTTCCCACTCAGTCTGCCAACTACAAACATTTTTTCACATACAGATTTCTGCTGGCAGGACTGGGAATTTGGACTTGGGCCTCTGACAGCAAGCGAAACCCTAACTTGTTAAAACATTAGAAGGAGGTATCAAAGTGACGAAGCCTCTTGCCCTCCTCCTTCTGCCCAGTCATGCGCTCTAATCCAGAGCAGGTTGTTATGTGACTGTTAATACCCACAACTGTTCAGTAACCTCTGAAAAAGAAACTACTGGTTTCAAACTTGTTCCTAATTCCAAGGTCTCTGCAACGTGAATGAAAAAAAAAAAAAAAAAGCCAAAAGAGAAAACAGAGAAAGGGATGAAGCCTGTAGGCTGAAGACAGATAAAGCATGTTCGATGTTGGCTGTGGGTTTGTTTTGCAGTATTAGAACTGAACCCTGCCCAATGATGGGTTCAACAGTAATGATAGCGTTTAAACCATTGTCTTAAGTATTTTGGCAAAGAATAGACCAATTTCACATGAGTTATTTTTCCCGGAAGATTTCTACAGTCTTGCACTGTGCCTGAACTTTATTAAATGCCTTCTACTGCTGGATGCCACCTTAACCTAAAGCCCAGTAGGACGTGCGTCAGAACCAGAGATGTTTATGCAGAGGATAAGAGAAAGGGAACAAGCTGGTGTGTGGAATGATTTTGACAGAAAACACTTGCGAGTTGCAAGGAGACAGGAATGTCAGAGGCTTGTGATGGGAGAGGAAAATTGGGCTTGGAATGGCTGAAGAATGAGGTTAGGACTACAGTTTAACTGGAAACTGGTTTGTGGGAAGGAAGAGAGACAGATCTTTCTTACCACACCAGGGAGGATGCAGAGTAGGACCAGCTGGGGAAAGAAATGAGGACAAAGTTGTTGAGGTCACTGAGGATGATTGAGAAACCAGAGTAGGGCAACAAGGGCTGTTAACTTGGGAGAATAAGAGTGTTGGTGATCAAATATGGGGAAAATGTGTAAGATGAGGCATGCAGGGGAGGCAGAAGGGCAGATCTGGGACAGACAGGGTGATGGAATCAGCCCATTGTACCAAGAATGGTTATGTAAAGAAATAGAACTGAGAGCTGGAAACCAGGTTTAGATAACCAGCTATGGAGAATAAGACTGGAAAATGATACTCATGTCCTTGGGCAGAGAAGAGAGAGAATGAGAAGAGGGTCGTGTTGGAGAGAATGGAGCAGAAAAGACCAAGCTTGGGAGAAAAGAGTGGAAAAGAAATAGACAAAATAACTTCCATCCATTCACCGCAGAAAGCTCAGAGGAAAGCCTATAGCTCCGGTGTAAATGTAGTACAGACTGTTCTGCTCCAAACCAATAGTGGTGAAACTAATCCCCTCTTGGCTCAGACATGCGCAAGCTGGGACAGAACAACATTATAGAGAATGCAGGACCTAACAAGGTTCTCACACTTTCTGACTTTTGATCATCTGTGGAACTTTAATTTGTCTCTTCCATTAATTATACTATTAATCTTCATTTTCCACAAGCTTTCTGCTTATGATCATTTTAAATGCTTGACTTTGCCATCTCAGTAATCTTCTTTTAATACAGTCCTCCTTCAATAAGTAATCAAATTACACTGTAATAATAAATGAAAAAAATGCAGGCATTGGTTTAGTTGCTTGTTAATTGCTCGTTTAATTAGAATGCTCACTAATTTGCAAAATGCAGGTTCTGACAAAGGATTTCATAGTCATTACTGCAAATTGGTCAGGTTTTCCTGTAATTTCTTTGAGTGGACTCTCATGATTTAACTGAGAATCATGTGAAAATTCTCCCAATTAGGTGAAGTGTCTAGGCTCCGGATGAAATAACGTGACCTGATTTTTTTAGCTCTGACCTCTCTGGAGTGTTTCAAAGTGTGTTGGGCATCTAGTGTAATCACTCAATAGCATGTATGACTGAATGCTGGTCTGAGCTGGACTGTTATTTTATATTATTTCCCGTATCAACAGTTTGTGCCCATACACTTTAAACATTTGAAGAACTCTACAAATGGTTAGCCCTGTAAAATTCCTTCTAGTAGGCGTCAAAGTGAACAAACTACAGACTTCTCTGTAGTTCGTTGGAATTCACTCTGTACAGCATGAGGAGCTGAATATGGCATAAATGTAAGCATTTTCTTATATCATTTTAATAGATTTCTTGTCAATAATTTCAACAACTTTGCAATGCTTTTGTGCTGCCTTGGTCACAAACGAAATGTGACAGACATACTGGAGATGGATGTGACATAAGAGAAGCTTTCCTTGGGCTCAAAGATATATTTGCAAGAAAGTAGGGGCTTCCTTGAGACAAAATCTTTAGAGATAGTTGAATATTGTGTAATTCTAGGACTAAATACACACTTAAGCTTTGGAGCTAGACAGAAAATGAGATTTCCTGCACAAGGAATTCAGACACTGAGCTTTTTTCTCCCTCTCTCGTCTCTCTCTTTTCTTTTTCTTCCAAATTAGGATGAACAGTTGAAATAGTGATAATTTGGGGGGGGATTAATAATTTCAAACAATATTGATCTGGAAATGTGAAAAAGTGTTCCTCCATGGAAACTATTTTTGGTCCTTTTTTTTTCCCCTTTGAAAGAGTTATCAATTTCTTCTAGGAAATAATCTGTTAAAATAAAATTTTATTTTATGCTGGAAAAATGTCGTATCCAAAAATGTTACCTTAACTATACATACACCAAATACGGATTTTTTTTTAAATATACCAACTCTGTTTTTTTCTGTACTGCACACAGCTCACAATCAGCTATATTGAATCATTGATGCCCACGAGCGAACGCCAAAAACAACTGATGCGCCAGTATTGCTTTGAATGTGACTGTCCTCTCTGCCAGAATCAAGAAAAGGTAGGTTGAGTGAAGAAATTCCTTGCTAATGAAACAGAATTTTCCAGGGTCTGTCAGCAGCTTCCCTTCCTTTACGTAATACTTATCTTTTGCTACTCATTGAATGGCCAGAATAGAGAAGAAAATGACCTCTGCCCTCAGTGCTGTTTATGTTGCTATGAAAGACAACCGTGAAGGAAAGAAAAGCAGGAAATGTTGACAACATGATAAGAAGAATTTCTTGCTAAAACATGCATTGTTCATAAATCTAGGAACTATTTTCAGTTCCAAGATGTGGTTCAGATCATTCTGCAATTCAAGGACCTCTGAACATTAGAGCTAATATGACATTAAGCTGAAAGGAAAGGATTTATGTTTTTCTATTCAAAAGAATAATCTTGGAACTTTAACTGAAGCCACTTGTCTGATGCTACAGGAAGGCTGTGCTTATCCTCATAATAATGTTAAAGTAATTCTAACAAACACCTGCATCAATAATTTTTTAAGGACTACCAGACACATTCAGCAGTTGTTAGAGAGAGTGATCAACCTCCTTGGGTGACTTTAGTTTTTATGCTCTCTTTCACAAGTTCTTGAAGTAGCATTTCAGTAGTTGTAGTAGATAGTCTTTTTTTGGCATGTCCTTTTACTAGGGTTCAGCCTAGCCTGGTTTAATGATATTCTGGGTTGCTTCATATTTATACAGCCTGGCCAGAATAATTTTGGCTCCAAGCCTGATGAGAGATCAAATGGAATATGCAAAATGAGGCTGGCATCATAGCAGTTTCCACATTTTGTCTCTCTAGTTATATGTATGCTTGTTCTTATTTTTACAAATGCCTGTTTTGGGTGAGTCACGTGCCATAGCTATAAATGCATTCCAAGTATACTAGAAATGGTAAGAAAGGTATGATGAAAATGTGTTTCCAAAGAGCATGATATGAATCATGAAATAATTGCTGTACAGCAAAAAAGAAAAAAAAAACAAACAAAAAACCAAACCGAAGTTTAAACTCTGTGTTGGGTAGGACAGTTGTGTGTGTATAGTCTTGTTCAAGCCAAAGTACACCCATTGATTATATAATGTATCCTTTGATTCATTAGTAAACAGTTCAAAAAAGAGAACACAGAAAAGTTTCAGACTTATGACATAATGTTAAATTACTTCCTGTCCATGTGCAAAAGTTGTCATTCTGTGCCTGACAAAGATTGCTGCAGTGCTACTCAGAGGCAGTGAAGGGAAGGGAAGACCTCTTTTTGCCTTTCTTTTAAAGACTCAAACTCAAGTGCCATGAAATCGTAGATTAGTTTTGGGGAATGGCATTCCCACAAATGCAGTGACAATTAAGAAAAATAAGCAGGCTAAAGAGCCTTTAAGGGTCGCTTAACAGTTTCTGAAAGGGTAGACAAGTGGTGTAAAGACCTTTCAGCATGTTTTAAGAAACAAGATCCACAGGCTGGAGTAGACATCACTGTAAGAGTCAGCATACAACGTCAAAAAATATTGTAGCGAAATTGTATGTGCATATATTGATGAAAACAATAGTCTCATATATAAGTTAAAAATAATTAATGATTTTTTTCTTTGAAATTTTTAGCTGTGGTTTGAATTGATCTTCTAAAGATCTGTTTCGCCCATTGGCAAAATTCCCTGTGGGGATGATATTGCAAAATGTTTGGAAAGCTCTTTGTGACTGCATTCTGAAATTCTGTATTTTCCTCCTTGTTACCATAGAAAGAGGTCTGTGAAGGGCTAGGAACCTCATGTCAGCTTCGTCTGTTGATGTCTGTGAAGAAACCTTTATCCTCAGCTTCAGTCTAAGATGATTAGAAATAGTCTTCAGCAGTCCTCATAGTACTGCATTTCATTTCTTTGTGACAGAGATTTTATAAATACAGCTGTTTATACGGCTAACTCGGAAATATAGATTTATTTTTTTTTCATTGATCTCAGTCACTGTTGGTAAGCTGAGAGGCGTGTAACTGCAGCTACGGTGGGAAATAATATTTTCAGAAATTTTGTTTTTTAAAAAATACAGAATAGCTGGATTTAGATGCTTAAAAGTCATCAATTGGCAAAATTATTCAATAATATCCCTGCTGAAATACCCCTGATACTGAGACAAATTTCCAAGGTATCTTGGAAAATTTTTAAAAGGCAAAGTCTTTTAAATAGACAATGGCTGTAACTTCAGGTCATCAAGGGTGGCAGATTCAACATTGTGATTCCATCAGCTAACAATAAATTCCCATGTTAAAACATTGCTTTGCAAGTACCATCGCTTAGTCAACAGCAATCCATCTCATAAATCCTTGTTACAGGTAAAATTGCAAATTCCATTTTGGCTAAAGCCTTCAAGTAAGGTTGTGGGTGTTGGGGATTTTTTTCAGTTGTACTCATTTCATTAAAAAAGCTAGAATCCTTTTTCTAAGAAACATTTTCAGGGATCATAGCTTCTTGTTATTCCCAAGTTCCAATCTCGCGGAGTGTGAGTGACGGCTGCTGAGCACATACTAGGGACCAGGGAAAGCAGAGGAATCACTCCTGAGATGCACACATCAATTTACAGTAAAACTATAAGTCAAGCCGTTTCCATTGTAGCTTTTATTCTACATCTTTTGTAATGTTTTAAAAGCGATCCTGAGAATTCTGTGGGAAGTATACATTAAAACTTATACGAAGGGCATATAAACCTTATATGTAGTAGTACTTAGTTGTAGGTATGCTTATTTATTCATATTCATAAAAATACTTTGCAGGTTTCTTATCAATTAAATTAATATCTCCTGCTATATTTTCTAAAGGCTTGTTCATGTAGTCTTATATGCTCAAGTGAAGAAGGAAGATGGTATCAAGTTTCTGTTCTCAAGTCAGATACTGACTTCGTAAGTGACCTTGGGTAATTAATTTTATTCAAAAGCAACCTTTGTGTTTTCGAAGACCCTGCCCTTATTTTTCATAATTAGTGAGAAGCTACTGTTTCAATTGGAGCTAAGCAGATTTTTTACTAGAAACCAGACTAGTCTGTCTAAATCAGGGACCATTTTTATTTATGTTCTGTGAGGCTCTATTTTGCTCAGTTTCCCCAAATGCAGCATGAAGATGGCAATTCGTACTTCTGCTGAGTATTCTGATGTCCAAAGCTTAATAAAGAAAGCTGCATTTTCTAAGGTCTTTTAACTTTAACTGCTGGTTTTGTTTTAATGAGAGTAATTCCTTGAAGTGGAATGGTTTGAGGTTTAGTTGAGGTTTAGTTGTGTGCTTTATGCAGTTCCCCATGTAGTATCTTAGTGCTGTAATAAAAAAAAAAAAAAAAAAAGGTCATATTTAAGCTCAGAGACATCTACATGAGCAAATAACAGACTTAGCCTACAAAATTCTACTGATTTCTCCTAACTTTAATTAGGCATCTAATCCAAGCCAGTTTTTAGCCTCCTCTATACCCAAAGAAAAGACAAGCAGCTCATTCATGTTGTCTTGCAGAAGAAATCTATGAAAACTGGAATCGATATAGGAGAGGTTAAAGGAATTCTTTCAAGTAAATACCCACACTTTAGGCAGATAAGTTGGGTGAGATAAACTATGCTGCTCCATGAAGTATATATAAACACAAAATCAAGAATCACATGATTATGTTTCTGTGCTAGCTGACATGGATAGCAGAGTGCACTTGCAACTATGTAGGTTTCAGCGCACTAATATCCAGATTGTCAGTAAAAGCTGTTCATGCTGATCACTTCAAGCATTTCTCACTGACTGCTGCTGTCGACAAATATATCTTACAGCCAGTGTCACTGCTTCTTCTCTGTTATTTGTGCTAAAATTGATTAAACTCAGATGTGGTTACATCATACTACAGTCACACAGTTTAGCTATGCACACAAACAAGAACAGTGTGTAAAAGTGCTCTTTTGCCATTCTGGGTTACATGATTCTGTGTGAGCTTTTTCTGTTTCAGGTCTCTGATGAACTATGATTTAAGAGGCAACTTAGCTATGAAGAAATATTCTTTATTTCTCATTTACTGTAATATTTCATGTCACACCTGTATAAAACAGTGAAATTCACTCCAACACCAGCAATGACTTTAAAATTTACAGTCACTTGGTCTTTTTAGCTAGATATGGCAACTTCATACAGCACAAGAATCTTCCTTAACCACTGCCTAAGTATACATAGTTCACTTGCACTTGTCTAGATCTGAGACTGTAATATGGCAAAGTCTGGATTTGCAGGTATACTTATGCTGCAGCCCAACCACAGGGACCCTGTTGAAGTTGAAGTTGTTGAAGTTGAGCATCAACTTCAGCTGATGCAAACTGGTACGCTCAGTGTGAGCAGCCACAGCCCTAGACCAAATGGAGAGGTCCATGGCTGTGCAGTCACAATTGTATTGCATATCAGGGGAGCAAATGTTCCTCGCTGGATATTGCTGATGAAAGGACTTCGAAGTGAATCTCTGCTTGCTATACAGTAGTAGCTTTTTATCTGCCTCTCCAACTGTATGCATGGCCATGGAATAATCCAGGTGCATAGCTGTCATCAAGGATGAGAAAATATGGAGGCAGACAGTGGCAACTAGCTGAACCTGTGGAACTCAAATAATTTTTGGTGCCTGGGCCTCACTGTCAGCTGTATTTTGATTCTAAGAGCTCATACCATAATGCTAGCCAGTCTCTTTTAGCAACTGGTCAAGCAGCTTGGCTGCTGATTTGACAGGGGAAGAGCAGCAAGTGCTGATACATCAGTGTAAACTGGTTAAGATAAGATTAAGGTGCACCTTTTGGCAGTACACTTACTGCCAAATTAAATGGCACTAGCTGCAAATCGAGCCAATATTTTTAGTTTATTTTGGCCTAAGTTGAAAACAAAATCAGTAACTAAAAGAGGAAAAAAACCCATGCCTTTCTAAAAGTCACTCATAGAATATTTCCTGACTGTCGGTATTTTAAGTTATTGCTGCTGTAATGTCTTCAGTTCATTGTATCTCTGGCAGCTTTATACATTATTATTTGCTCCG